CTAGCATATAATTGACTATAGTGTCCAAAGTTCATCAGAGTTTATCAGACAGGACCGATGGTAAAATTAGTCTAATTTGTCTTGTGAGGATACAAATCAGACTCAACAACCAGTCCTAAGTAAGTTAGCAAATTTTTAAAACTGATCCAGATCATTTAAAATGAAACTTCTTTTTCTAAAAATAGAAAGCCTGGGGTTTGGTGACACAGGATTGCATGGTTCTCTGTACTTGTACACTTGGCATACATGTCAGATAAGCTGGTCATTTCCCAGGGTGAAAGAGGACGATATTTACAAGCCGATACAATATGCTTTATGTTTTCTCGTCACATCACTTTGAGTTATCAGCACCGCTTCATGCCCAAACAAACCCTCAGAGACACTTGAGAGATAAAAGGAGCCAGACAACATAAGAGCAGTTGTAAATCCTTTGATCGCTTTACAGCTCTGTGGCAACATTTACATATCGTGACAGTACAACGACCTGAGTTAAATATCTTCTCAGTGATCCTTTGATGAAATGCATCACCTGGATGTTGCCGCTGTAAGAATAATACAATGACACTGAGTTTATAGCAGAGAAACTGATTCACTTTGCACCCTACAAAAAGTGATGTTATAGCTCTACTGAAGGACAAAAGGAGGGAAAGTTTAGGCTGACTGTGCTGCTGCACTAATAAAGATAGGACAGTTTAATACCTTTCTGTAATGAGGACACAGCACCTTGGCCAGTCTACCGCCAAGGACAGAGCAGAATGGAAAAAGTACCATACAAAAATAGCCCACTCATCCCCACTCGCTTGTATGTAATTCTCAGAAGCGCCCTACTGTTTTTTACAGGTAAAAAAAAGAGACATTACATAACAGCAAAAAGGTCAGCTCATTAATGTTTCCTGTGGAGTATCATACTCTCTCTGCTAAAAATGGTATCATCTGTCAATTTCTCTGTACTTATTGTAAAAGTGCACAAGTGTATGTGTGTGTGCATTCATGCATCAATATATATATATATGCCTGTGCTGCAGACCAGTGATCAGGGTGAATTTAAATGTCATAAATGTTTAGTGTTGGGAACATTGCATAACGCCTCTCAACTGCAGTACTGGGGAGAAGTACAGGGATGTGGTGTGTGATAGTGATAAGGGTGTTTATGTGGGAGGCTTGAGAGGAAATTCTGAAGTGTGTACAATACAGTTCAGACTTACACTCATAAATCGTTCAAATAAACACATTTGTTAAAACTTTGTCCATGTGATGGGACCAGCAGTTAAAGTGCAAAGCACCAGTATGACAGGTAGCCTATACCAGGGGTTTTCAAGTAGCGGTCCACGGACCACCAGGGTTTGTGAATAATCTAATTCATGCAAGAGGCTGCATTTCATGCAGTTTAACTAGGCAATTCATTTACTGAGGGGAAAGTATCCATAAATTGGCAAAAAGTGAGTAGTTTCATTTTTAAATGCTGATGACATAGAAATGATGGAAATCATCATGAGGCACACACTGTAA